CACTCTTGACATAGAGGCAGCTGGCACAGACAAACGGGTCAGGAGAGTTGGTTAGTCGACTTACCTGGTCGTCCTGTAAACCCGTGCATTTGGAATGCCACCAGGCCTTGCAGGCGTGTCATTGCATACCGCGTTGTTCGTTCGACGGGCAGCCATTTCGCCCACTCCTATTGTGGTCTATCAATGGCCGCGGAGGGTAATCGGCATAAATTGATGTAATCCGACTAGATTGACGTTCGACGGGCAGCCATTTCGCCCACTCCTATTGTGGTCTATCAATGGCTGCGGAGGGTAATCGGCATAAATTGATGTAATGTTTCCGACTAGATGTATAATTGGAGGTGAGCGCAAAATATAAAGGGTTATTACTCAAATGTTTTGTTAGAGTAATAAAATTCAACAATTACTCGTGTGTACTCTGTGAATAGATTGAACAACGAAAAATTTTTTCACGAATTTGCACGAGGGAAAAACGAAACCGATTTCGAACGTACCGCGCGCGGAGCTTCTGAAAGCTATATTCGCAGCTCATTGAATGAATGCATTTGCTTTCCTTAAATCAAAATATTTTCTTCCAATAAACGCCTTTCTTTCAGTGACCGCTGTTTCGGTGAAATCCGGGGTTCGTGTAAGGTAGCATGATAGTAAACTCAGGATAGCGAGCATGATTTCTTGCTTTTCCCCGTGGCCAGTTTTGTGATGCTCTGGTTTTTTAAGAACCCTGCTTGGGCACTGAACATACGCGACACGCCCCATAAAAATTGGTTCACGCCAGAGACGAGCCGACATCTCAGTTCTTTCAGCTTAGTTTAAATGGTTCCCAGCCTATTCGTTACTTGCTCAGTTTAGCGACATGATATTTAATATCATACCCCATAAATACGATACCGTGCATCTAGGCCAGTCACCAATACCTGCAGATCAAACGAAGTACGGTGGATCTCAGTAGTCGCCGAATGGTTATGGGTGATACCAAACGGCACCCCGTGGTTTGCTGCCTCCGGTGTAGAGTACATATATGTACTCTGTTAGTTGCATTCTTCAGTTTCGACTTGCCAGTATCGAGAAGAACTGTTAGTAGTGCTAAAGTACTGCGAAAAATTCAGGTTGTTTTTCATTCATGATTGGCTGTGGGGAAGAGGCTTTGTTAATACAGTCGAAGGCAGCACACCGCGCACAGCCACAGACAGTCCATTTCTCAATTTCCGAAAACACACCTGAGTGGTTCAGCCGTATCCCGTTGTTTGGCATCATCACTCCGGTGATATCCTGTACTACTGCCCGATACCGGCTTTGGAGGCTTTTGTACATTTAGACGCTTGTGTTTTTGTCGTGTGACTTACAACGACGCACACAACAGCCAAATGACCTCAAAAATGACGTCCGTTATGGGTTGTCTCAGAAGTGAAGTATGCCAGGTCAATGATGGCACAGCACTGCTATACTTGGTTTCATAGTAAAACCGGCATTAGTCATCTTCATATTATTGACCGCTTTCTCTCGCCCAGGCGTTCCATTAACTGCAAATAAAAACAAAATATTCACCTGACCCCAGCTGCCCTTAGGACACATCCATTCTAAACTACTGGACCTTTCGTTCAAATTTATTCAGTTCGGTGGACTTTCAGTCTAGGCTTTCTACTGAATCAATAATTTTCTGTACGGTTCGCGTTCTGGCTTGTGTGCCGCCACCAACTCACTCTTCCAAGGAACTTCTACACCCAACTCCACTGCAAAAGCGACACCAGTTGGTCTCTACGGTTTCAACGTACGCACAGATTCTGAGCTTCCTGTTACCATTTATCCGCATTACTAATACCTCCAATTCATCATCCTTACGCTTTATGTGACCCCGGACACAAGCACAACAGTCCGAGGCCACAATGCTTCAGCAGTGGTTATAGGTTCTAGTTCATCCTTGGCTTTCTATCGGACGACTTGCTGGACGAAAAGTTCGGAGTACACTATTCTGCGCGCACAATATTATTTACTATTACGTCTCACAGAACACCCGACAGCTTTGAGATTATGGCGGAATTCGGTGCCAGAAAACTCAACCTCAACCACTGTAGTCCCACGGGCGATTAATCGGCTTCTATATACTTCTACCAGTATTTTGAATTCACTTTACCCATGCAATTCTAAGGCAATTTTCTGCCGGAACTTCGCTGAGAAGGCTTTATGACGTCCCGTTTGACTGTTTAGTATGACAGGGCCAGGGAGCTGATTACCTACTGTTTTGTCGACCGTTATTAGTTGTTTATGTAATTAACTATTTGGCTGGGGACTTAAATGTTTTTCCAAATTTATTCGGTGTTCTCCTTCGTCAAAGTACATCCATAACTCTGTTGATAAGAGTAGACTGACGCAGCCACTCCAGTGGCAGTTTGCACTGAGATGCACAGAGTTTACCAGGCAGTGGGCCGGCACGCGCTTTGCTCGCCGAAGTGGCTTGTAGATTTGGATAATTTTGTCACGAAAATCAGAGGTCTGCAGCCGGCCGACCTACTTTTTCGCTCTCTTGTTGCATAAGCCCATATCAGCTCAAAAATGCAGTGCATCATTCTACTGCTGAATTCGGTGAGGGAGCTTGCAACGTTGGTCGCCTTAGCTCCATTGTGCACAGAATGTCTTTCTTACCTTCTCTGTAATGTCGGTAGTGTGATGCATATCAGCTATCCTAAAAAAATTCTGGCGCAGCTAGCACTTCTCGGAGACCTCAATAGTTTTCTCAGGCACTTCCTTCATGTTAAAACGATCGTACACAAACAGATCGAGGAATTAGGTAGACGAAAACCTGAATAATGTATAATTCTGATGGTCACTGCAGAAGTAGCCGGAATGATGGCGAATTTCTCCCCCAAACCTTTTTCTCACAGCACAACTAAGAGGTGCTGTTATTGTTGCTATTATTAATGTCACCAACCGAAACCACATGAGTTCGGTCGCTGGTATGTTCACCGAGCTTGGAAGTGGGATTGCAAAATTTTCATCACCTATGGAGGTGACATCGTCAGAGCAGGTTAGAGTGGGCCAATTACTCTATTCTGTCCGTGATTATATAGCTTCCAACCAGCATTTGGTAGTTCCGGAATCGGTCTTCGCGTAGTTTCGTTAGTCTCCTGTGAATCTGCTATGTCTGGTTGGTTCAATGGGCGCATTTGATTCAGCAGCTCCGTGTGTGATTGGTCTATTGTGATTCGGTTCCTTGCTTTGTGTTGGGTGTTTGTCGATTTATTAGTTGAATCAGCGGCCTTTGGTTTTTGGTCATTGTCTTCTTTTAACCAAATTAGTCCGTTGATTATCATTAGGTTTCTGGCTTAGAGCCTGTGACTGTGTGGCTCTTTTGCTCGTAACGGCTGATAGACTGGGTCAACGCCGATGTGTTTATTGATCGATTTTTGTCTGTAGTACCGCGCCTTAGCAAATTCTTGCTCCCTTTTGTTCTTGCGTGGGCAAGTATTTCAACATTGTCCCAACTGAAGTTGTATTCTTCTCTGTCTTCTTAAATTGAGAAAGGTAACATTGGGTCATGTCTTCTGCTTTCAAGCATGTGTTTGTGTACTTTTGTAGCAGGTTTTCTTCCCGTTTGACCGAAGTAGCATTTGTCGCAGTCGTTGCACTCAAATTTGTAGATTGCGTTAGTCTTTCTCAATGCATTCAACCTTCCATTTGGTTTCGAGAGAGTTCTACTCAACGTGTTTGTAGGCTCGGAAGTGACTGTAATTCAATGTTGCCTAGATGTTGTGCGGTCATCTCTGCCACGTTTCTGATACACTACAGCGTTATCTCTCACTGGTCTGGTTGTGTTGACGAATTAGCTCGATGGTTGTCTCGTAAGCACCTCAAATTAAATTCCTCGTGTGGCCGTTATTTCCGGATGTCTCGTAGAGTCTTTGTTCTCCTTTTTCTTCGCCCCTGTTGTGTTGCAATGCATCTCCATCCGCTTGAATAGGGTTCAAACGCAGCTCCGCTTGTGAAAATTCGGATGGTTGCTGTGGTAATTCAGAATCTAGTCTGTATGCGTTTCTTCCCTTTATACTTCAGTTTGCAGTTGACCGTTTGTTGTCCTTGTGACGGACAAATCTAGGAACGCCTATTTGTTTGAAAATATATAATCACAGACAGAAGAAGAGGAATTCACCCACTTAAACCTACACTGACGATGTCACCTCGATTTGTGATGGAACGTTTGCAATCCAACTGCCAAGCTCGGCGAACAGAACAACAACCAAGCAGCGCACCCTAGCTAACTACATTTCACAATATTGCTAATACATGAGTTTGCCAGCGTCGAGCGTTCAGTTACTTGGTTAAGTGACAAGTGATCATCTGGTTTGTGATATTTGTCTGACGGAGTTCATCTCCGAAATGAAAACACAAACAGGGCCACAAATTGCAGAACAGAATCATGGACATGAAGGAGGATTTGCTCAACAGTTGAGCTTATGGAAAACCATTATAGTAGTGCGTGGGCTGGAAAACTTTCTTGCCACTGAAGTCCAGGACCACGTTTGCTGGAGAGGTAGTATCAGCGAAGTTGACGTAATGTTGTGGAACGCGAACAGGTGAAAGGCTGGATAAGAATGCGAGCATAGAGATGGCAGAGACAAGGTTTGTGCCACCGCTATTTCTCTATGGGACAGTTTTTGTTTAAACAAACGACTGCAAGAAAAGGTCGCGAAGTCGGGTAACCAATATGCGCAACAATTTTTGGCAATTTATATTCACATTCAGCGTTGCCAATATCGTTTTTCTCCTCCGAAACCACTCCTGCATGTTTTTGTGATGCACCGGGAATTCAGTTTCCGTTGCGCTGAACCAATACACTTCATCTCGGCGTGGTAAACTGTTCTATTCGAGCACACTGGGCACATCTCTCCCAGCTAGATCTCCACATCTGTTGCTGGCAGCTTAGTTAAACTCTCCCAGTGCTTCCTGGAGTGAGCTTTAGTGCATCAGGTGCGGTGAAATTGTTGCACTGATGCGGACCAATGTCACTGAAAAGCGAGCTTGTACTCAACCTGTCGTTTTTTCTGCCAGATGCCGCGAAAGACAAGCACCATTGCTGCTGGATTTGGTAACCATCAACGAAGGACACTTTCCATATCTAGTATTATTCAAGGTTTTGTTGGACATCAATAGGCTGCGCTCTA